ATTAATTAAAATTATTTATTTATTTCAGAAAGAGTAATTTTTACTATACGTTGTATACTTTGGTTATGGGATTGGCACCAGTTACTACGGGATTGGCAACTTTTTTTGAAGAATTTTAAGAATTTTATAAATCTTTACTAATTAATTTTGTTTGAAATTTTCCAAAAAATTAAAGGGGTTTTGTATTTACATGCAACAAAATTTTGAAGATGTTTAAACGCGTTTCGCGTAACTTATCTATGTAACATGCATAAATTTGGATTTTTGAGCCGGATCTAATATATAATTTGGCACGTGATTCCCCCTACCCTTAATGAGTTTAAAATCAGAAAATGATTATTTAAATAATGTTAATTCAAATGATAATTCAATTCAGACAAGAAACACCTTAATAATTGGAGACATTATTAATTTTAATTTTTTTAACAATAATATGGGGCATACTGCAACAAAACCAGACAAAGTGAACATTGGTGTTACCAAAGATTTCAGGGATCAAGATTTAGTCATTTGTAATGTGATCGTAATTAATATCCCATTTGTTATTTTAAGTGATATATAGTACTACTCCTATATAAAAATAGTTAATATGAAACTCATTTACATCAGATCTACCTTGGAACCCAAGAATTATAGCACCATTAGAAGTATTTTAAAGAAAGAACAAGGTGAGAAAATTGCTCCTTACATTGCTTTATTTGCTTTTATTTGCTTTATTCGAATAAATCTTATTTGAATAGAAACCCTAACTACTACTCACAAAGAGCTTTAGAAATGTTTAACCAATAACTTAATTACAATATAAAAGAGCTATTAGTTTATTAAATTGAGCCAATGATTAACTAATAAATAGGATTAATTTTAAAAGAATATCTGATAAATATTGGCATTTTCAATATTTACTAATAGGCTTTTAGACTATATGATAAAAATATTATTAACTTATCAGTATGCTAATACCTTGATTACCTTTTTAAAGAATAACCAGGTTCTGATATTTGCTGATACCTCATTACCCAATTTGACATCATTCGACCAGTAAAAGAGAACCAATAGATTATATATAAGCAAAGAAAGATGGGAGCACAAAAGAATTTTAAATCATGCGCAAACATGATGGCTTGATTGACACAGTGGTGCAGTCTTGGTTTCCATGCAATTTTTTTATTGTATATTTTAAATACAATTAATCATACATCTTTAATAAAATAAACATGACTTAGCTATTTAATCATTTCCTTGTATGTGAATGCCTCCATCCAATAAATATTCATGATGGTCATGATTATTATTCAATATGTTTGATGTTATAATTGACATAACAAACAATTGCATCACCCAGGTAGTAATGATACCAAAGCCATGCAGAAATGAAACTTTTAATAATGCCTGTCTACCCAGATCTCTGGGGTTTACAATAATAAATTATTTTTCCTGATTATCAATTATGGTTCCTTATGAATAATAAATCTGATATTGATTGCAGGTGTCAGATTTAATTAAAATTTCCCTATCACAAACATGCAGGACAGTGCAATTAAGCACAATTCAGCACCATGGAATTTTTTCCTCACAGGTGAAGTGGTCCTGAACATGTTGGAAGGCTTCAGACAAAACTTTCCCCTTATCTTCCCCTCAGACCTCTCTAGAATAAAGCTGGTATTAAAACTGGTACAAAATTCTCCAACTCAGGCAGTTGCAACCTGGGTTGCTGTTTTGGATTTTCCCTGAATTTAGGCACACCAATACACCAACAACCCTACCCCATTTAAATAACAAATTCAGTTGGTCAAATAAAAATTAAAGAAACAGAAAATTTGGGAATGATTAATTTATATGTAACATACCTAAAGCTCCTCGCAAGCCAGCTTGAGAGCTTACTAAGTTATTTGGTTTGTGAGCTGGAGCCTTAAACATACCAAACAAAATCTAAACCATTTTATCTGAATTATGGCAATTCGTCATGACACCATAAAGTCATAAAAGTTGTAAACCGTAAAACTGTAGAGCAAAATGCAATTTCAGGGCCACCAGCCCTGCACTGAATTGCAACCTCCTGTGCTTGAAGTGAGTTGCAGACTCTTTTAATATTTCTGCAGAGTTGCAGCTTGGTCGCAGGGCCATCCTTACCCTAGAGGTGGATTGTTGCAGGCAACTTTTTGGTTGGAATAGCAGCCTTCTCTGGTCTGGGAAGATTGGTGAAAAGTGTCATTGACAATTGATGCAGCCTTGGTAAACTCCAGGGCCACGTATTACCCCTGGAATTTGGTAGCATAATTGTATCATCGATCCACCAGGTCAGATTAGCCTTGTGTACACGAGGAAGATGTGTGAATGACTGTAAAGTTCAAGGTAGTGTGGATGCTTCAACGTCTATAAAATTTTTGATAATCAAACATTGCATATCGAAGTATTTCTTTTTCAATGGTGTGCTGCCTTGACATGTAATTAATTATATTATAATATTAATATTATTAATGATTACAAAAAGCAAAACACCAATCGTTCATTTGTTATCATCTTGATAAGAATCTTATAATTACCCAGCAAGATCTGCTCCGCGTTTTGATTCCAATTAAAATATTTATAAAATAAAAGACACATCAATACAAATAAAAAATAGTACCTCTGGTTAGTTATTAACATGTCTTCAGAGCCAAACAACAACACTCGCGTTTCCTCATCTTGGACTCTGTCAAAAAATAAGATTGTTTTTCCAAAAAAAAAAAAAAAAAAATCAATTCGCGTCTGTCCCTCAAGAACAAAATCTTTGTGCAACACCAAGTGCCAATAATAATATTGTAATCGCGTTTTGTTGATCAATAAATTTTAGAAATGCCAAAAAATCGAACTGAAAGCAATAAGAAAAGACAAAGACAAGAACAACAAGAAGAAATTACTGGGTAAGTGTTTATCGTAAGAATGGTGGTGGTTATCGCCACTCATCACTCGTCATCACTCTAGTTGATTTAATTAATTTATGTTGTATCATTTCTTATTAGTGAAAAATTTAAAAAAAAACCTAAAGAATCTAAAGGTATGTTCAAAAATTTTAAGCATTTCAAATTTCAAATAACAAAAAATCTAAATGCACGTTACAAACCTTTATCATATTCAGATGAGGAAACGATCAGTAACTTTGGCTCAATGAAAAGAACGAGCCCACTAAAATCAATCATAAAACTATTAGAGCGTTGTGATCCTGATACACGTCAATATATATATGATTTTATGGGATTTTTTATAAATGATGATAGTAGTAAATCAGAAGAAGATCCACACAAAACGATTGAAATGTTGGAAAACAAGTTAGTCAAAATGAATGATCGCATTTTATCTCTTAAAAAAAAATTACATGTTGAAATGGATATCAATCAGGGATTGGTAGAAGAAAACGATGAATTAATGGAAGAAAACGAAAAATTAAAAAAACAAATATTAGTATGTAAAATATGTTTAGATGAACCAGTGACACATTGCACTCTGCCATGTCGCCACTTGGTGTCATGTGAGACTTGTGTTGATAAGGTTGAGGATTGTGTTTTATGCCGTACAAAAATTACATCCTGCATTAGAATTTATTTTTAATTTACATAGCTGGTATTTATTTTTTTTCATTGATCTTTTGAGTGGTAGATTAAATGGATTTAATGTTTTTAAAGTTAACATTGTTAGGTTCAGGCGCATTTTAATATTTGCCAAAAAAAAAATTTTATTATTATTATATAAAGACAATTTGATTATTGTGAAAAAGAAAAGTTAATAACTTATGGTGCAAGACACGCAAGTTACTGCGCTTCAGTGACAGTTTTTGTTATAAAAACATACAAAATTTATATTCATCACATACAGTACAAAAAATGGCTAAATTGGCTGTATTATAACACCATCTTAATTAAATCATGGTCATCATGATGCAGGAGACAAACCCATTATTTGCTCAACAGGAGAAATTGTATCTATAATCACATTACAAATGACTAAATTTTGATCCCTGAAATTCTTAGTAATACCAATGTTCACTTTGTCTGATTTTGTTGCAGCATGCCCCAAATAATTAGAATGTGTTCTATATAGAATAATAATATTATTAAATATATTTAATAAACACAATGGTAGCTATTGACTTTATTTATTTTTACTGTTATTTATATCTAGAAAAAACTAATAGTAATTGTTACATATAATAATAATAGAGGAAAATTTATGATATTAATTTTAATAGGTTAATAATAAACTATCACGGGTCAAAAAGTGGCAAAACAGCTATATTTAAACCAATAATTATTGAAGTGTGTAAAGTTGGTGTCTGATCTAAGAAATTGCAATTTGGGATGTATCAACCTAGGTCACAACTGGTTGCAGAATTTCAAACCAGTTGCAGACACCAACTTTAGAGGCATGGTTAGATTTGAAAGTTAAATCTGGGCATCCATTTTTTGGTAACTTTATGATTATAATTTGAAACTATTGACTATTTTTTGGTAGGCTTGTAAAGCAGTTAAAAATACACGTAATACATGGTTTTGGAAGTTGTATGGCCTTTTAATAAAGCTCTCGCCAAGTTTTTCTTCATATAAACCATTTTTCAATGAAAGATCTGCATGTTTTAGCCAATAATATTTGTTTTGATTTTTTCTGGGTTATGTAACTTTAGAAATTTTGGAGCTATTTTTATAAATTTAAATTAAAAAGATAGCCAGATACTCAGAGTTTTATTTAGTAATTTTAAAGTACAAATCTACATGTAAAATATTGTGCTATTTCTGCAGCGGTTCCAGATTATGGACACTAATTGATTTTACTATGATGCTTATCCCGGAATTTTACTATGTAGATCCTTTCCTTCATTGATGGATCACGAATTAAAGGTCAATGCAACAATCAATGTCAGCTGTGTAACTCAAATGAGCACTTGGCTAAACTGACTAAGCTATTAATATGACAATTATTACTAAATTGGGATTTTAACCTTTATGATATGGCATTCCAGAATGGACAAAAGTTTAAGGTTGAACCTCAAGTGCCTAAGGGTTCAGCCTTAAACTTTTGTCCTTGTTTGCTGACCATATTATGCTGCAGCAATTCATATTTCCAGTATAGTGAAACTATCTATAACAAATTTGGAATTCTAAATACTGTAATGATTGATTGATGTTCTAGAAGTTTGCTGTATTCCCAATTTAATTTTGGATTGGATTGGATAATCTAGATAATCCTGGATCTTAATCCCTGTTCACAAATCCATGTTACATGATTAATGGAATCCAAACCATTGTAAAATAGTAAATTATAGATCACGGGAAACGAACATATAAATCGGAAATGATTTACATGTATCACGAAGTGAAAATTTGGAAGCGATTATCACGGAATAACTCAACAAGAAATAAACCGGTATAATTTAATAAATGTTACACTAATTAATAAGGCGCACCAAACAAATAAATAGCTCTCGGAAAATAACCCAAATATTGGAGATATAAATATTCCAACATTCTAAAGAGCATAGTGGAAGTTTGTTGTTACACGAAACGTTATGCAGAACTTATTGCTTCTGAAACTTTGACATTATATAGTTGCTACCTTTCTAAATTGGAGATCAAGTTCAGATCCAATTCAAATCCAGTTTATCACTTACTTTTTATTGCCAGAATGTT